GATTATAGCTCTCAGGGAAACTGAAATAGGGAAGGGAGTTCCACAGGCGAGAGGTGCGAGACATAAGGCTATTGGAATAGAAGAGACGGCTACATTTAGGAGTTTCGACAGTGAAAGGGTGAGAGCGGGATGCCAGCCTCGTCGGGCGTTTGAACTCATGAAGTCTGGGAACCAGCGAATGCAGCTTCTCGGAGCAATTACAATGAAAGTATTTGTAAAAAAGACAGAGAGAGGCGACGGCGCGTCTGTGAGAGAGCGACTGCAGACGAGATGCCAGATCAGGGCGAATTATATTGCATATCCACCTCTGGAGCCTATCAAGAACCCCGAGGCAAACAGAAGGGGCTCCAGACCATATATGGCAGCAATACTCCATGCAAGGGCGAATTGTTGATTTGTAGATCTGGAGGATCGATTCCGGGGAGAAAAATTTCCTGGCGCGGCACAGGGAGCCAACCTTTTGTCTGAGATAGTGTCGAATGATAACATCTTGTTTATGCCAATATTTTCTCTTCGGTTTATATGTGTTATCTGGATTCAATTGTTGTTAATTTTGGAAGGCCTTCAGTAATATGGTTTCTGGTATTTGCCTTTGATACTGTATCGTAAGTTCACGAGGTTCGAATAAGGATGATCCACGCTAAGACCTACTTACTTAATTTGTTCGGAACCATTCTTAACCATTGATCTGAGAAAGCGGTTCTATACAGCTAACGGTTTAGATATTTCTGAACATGTTTGGCGCCAGGCGTGGCATTTATATGAAAGTCTTCAGCTTCTCACATTTTTAGTTTACTATTTTGTAGCCACCTGTGGTATTAAGCGCAACTACAAGTCTTTTTAATTTCGTTACCTCTTATACTAATTTTCTTATAACTGATTTATACAATGAATCATTTGAAGTGTTTGGTATTTACTAATTACTTTTTTGGTATTTTTGGTATATATATATATATATATATATATATATATATATATATATATATATATATATATATTGGTTATGTTCGGTTTTATATATATATATATATATATATATATATATATATAGAGAGAGAGAGAGAGAGATAGGTCAGGTTGTATATATATTGGTTATGTTAGGTTATATATATACATATATATATATATATATATATTATTGTATTAGGTTGCATACATACATACATACACACACACACACACACACACACACACACACACACACATATATATATATATATATATATCAGGTTATATATATATATATTGGTTATGTTAATTTATGTATATACATATATATTGTGTTGAGTTGCATACATACACACACACACACACATATATATATATATATATATATATATTTATATATATCAGAGTTAACCTTTAGAAAAAGATAATATTTATATTATAAATGTAAAAGACAATAGAAAAACTGTAATAGTTGCCGACGCGTTTCGTCCGATATAGACTTTTCAAGGCAAAAACCGAAATGAATTTATTAAACAAAGTAACTAATAATAACAATACAAAATATCCTTAGCAACTGGAAGAATTTAGAGAATGCTAGTTTCATACTGTTAACTGAAAATTACGTAAATTACTGTGACGTGTGGAGATATTGTTATTATTGCTGTTTTGACGGATTCAACGATTTTCTTTTGATTTCTTGATACTGTTCTGTACGTTTGTTTGGGAGAGTAGTAATTCTGTTAAGAAAGGTGAAATAGGGAAAAAGCATGGACTTAGATTAATATTTGGGTAATATTCTATGGCGGCACTCTCTAGAATTTTCCTTCTGAATTAGTTATTTTCTTTTTTATGAGTGTAGCATTTTTAAAATCAAAATTGTGATTGAATTTATTTCTATGTATGAATAGTGCATTAGCTAAGTTGTTTTTATATATCAACTCAGATAAAAGCAAATACAGATGTCAGCTCTCGAACAATTCAACGGCATTTAAATAAGACAGAGTTTAAGAATTTGAAACGTCTGCAGAGGCCTCGCCTTCTTCTTCGCCATAAAACTTCCCGTTTACAACTTGCTTCCGATTATCAAACTTGGGATGTGGATAAATAGAAGACTGTTGTTTTTAGTCGAGTAAAAATTCAATCTTGATGGCTCAGACGGTTTTCAGCGTTACTGGCATGCAAAAGATGTCCCAAAAGAAATTTTCTCAACATGACACAGTGGAGGTGGATCAAATACGGTTTGGCTTTCATTTTCGTACAATGGAACTCTTGGGTTACAGGAGGTAAAAGGTCTTCAATTAGCTGCTAGTTATATTGACATGTTAAGAAAGGCATCGCTAATTACTAAAGGTCCTCGCCTATGTGGAGAAAAATGGATTTTCCAGCAGGACAATGCGGCAATCCATATCGCTCTGCAGATCGAAACCCAATCGAGAATGTTTGGGGATGGATCGCAAAGGATATTTATAAACATGGATCGCAATTTGAAACTGTGGATGCTCTTCGTGCTGCAGTTTATGCATCCTGGGAGAACATCCCAAGTACCTTCATGCAGAAGTTAATAATGAGTATGCCAAAGCGAATTTTCGAAGTAATTGGCAAAATGGAGAATATACTGAGAATTAAATTGTCGTTGTGACTTATTTGTTCTGTATTTGCTATTTTTGTTTACATAGTCTTATCTTTATGAACAACAAAAAAAAACTTTTTTTCAATGTTTGTTTAAATTAATAAATAAAAAAGCTTAAAATGTTCACTTTGTTGTAAACTGCATTTTCTAATTAAATGTAAATATTTCGCAAATATATTTTGATTAAAGTACCATTATTTTATATTAAACCTTTTGTATCTGGTCATAAGATTTTGACCAGGAGTGTATATATTATCGCATATATATATATATATATATATATATATATATATATATATATATATATATATATATATATTGATGCATGTTTCATTAAATAATATAGACAGGTTTTGTCTATTTATTTTATGTAAATTCTTTTCGTATCGTTTGATAATCTTAATAACATTAGAATTTACATAAAATAGACAGAACTTGTCTATATTATTTAATGAAACATGCATCAATAAAAAATGCTGCCTAAATAAACACAATATGTATATATATATATATATATATATATATATATATATATATATATATATATATATATATATATATATATATATATGCAATCTTCATTGATTAACAAAAAACACACGCTGATCCATATGTTGTTTCATTCTTTGCTTAATCTAAGCGTCTTAAACCACCCCTTTGCCGAAGACGTGTGACGAAGTGAAGGCGGGTGTCAAACACTGAAAGATCAAAGATTGAACCAGAATGATTGTTACGCCCCATTCTCTATGAAATCAATGCCTTACCGAAAATCAGATAGAATTCTCAATCTTCCTCTTTATACTCCATTTTTGTGAGATTTGGGTCTCTTCCTCCTCCTCTTCCTTCCTATTTTTCTTCTTCATTATCGTCTATGTTAAAATTTGTTGTGTGTACATTTCTTAGACGTCACTTCTACTATAGGGCCTGGTTATCTGATTCTCTCTCTCATGATGTCTCGTCTTCAAGTACTGTCCCTTCTTGATTGTTTTTGTCTGCATTTACCCACGTTATGATTGCAGTAACCCAAATGTTGGAGATTTTTTTTGAGTTTGTGAAGGACTCATGGTCACTATAAAAGACTTATCTCTCATTCTTTTAATTCTCTGTGGCCCGCCCTGGAGTTTGGGCAAACTATAGTAGTCGCTTCGCAGTGAGCCGCCTCCACTGCCCTTAGGCCAATATCCCAAAGTCGTACCATCTCCATTTGCTGCTGAGAATCAAAGCCATCTTTCCTCTAAGCAGAAGGTTTGCTTGTAATAATAATAAAAAAAAAATTCGTGGGTCTCTATCGGCTAAATTGTAATATCTCCAGCAGGGAAATCTCGTCGACAACATTTCTGCATTTTTGAGTTGACGCAAAGTGAGTCAGTGATCTTCCCTAATTTCGCCTCATGTTTTTTGCTGCCCAATGAAGTTAAACAACGTCGAACTTTGTCAGTACCTAGATGGGTGATGACGTAGGAACACCAGGAACTGCAAGCTTGGGTGTGCGTCTGATGTAATTCTTGCAACTGGAAATCGGAAAGCCGAATTTCAGTTCCTGCCAGGGTCGATATATTCACTTACGCGCAAATGCCCTTTTAGAAAGGTATGAATCCACCTCTTCTCCCCCCAGATATAAGCTAAATAGTGTGACGTGTATCAGTATATAATTATTAACTCTAATAATTCTTCTATTATAAAAATATTGTCTGGCTTTAAAATATTATGTTGGTGCAAAATAATGACGTAATAATATCGTTTTTGGACATATTTTTTAACGTCAAAAAACGACATCATTACGTCATTGTTTTTGCACCAACCTAATATATAAAAACTGGCTGATAAGACGTAAAATCTAATCAGTCAATCAACTTAAACCCACAATGTCGATAGGCTGACCAAGGAATGTGACCAAATGAAGTTGCTTTTTCAATGTAACCCCCTTGTGGTTCACACTTTTCTTGCATCATTGTTACAGCGCTTGCATCCTATTGGCGAAGAACATAAAACCATCACCTGTAGATATGATGTCCTCATCATTGTGATACTGTTTTATTGTTTGATTTAGTGGAGGATAAATTATTTGAAGTTGTATCTATCTATCTATCTATCTCTCTCTCTCTCTCTCTCTCTCTATATATATATATATATACAGAGACCTGGTGCAAAAAGTGTAGATGGTCCTGCACGAAGCCTTCACCACTATAATCGAATCTCATGTGCCGGTATCGGGCTGTCAGTTTCCTGAAAACAGATCTCCGTCTGTTCATATCTATCTATTTCAGTTTGTTCATCTCTATCTACCCCAATCTGTTCATATCTATCTATCTATCTATCTATCTATCTATCTATCTATCTATCTATCTATCTATCTATCTATCTCAATCTGTTCATATCTATTTATATCTGACTCTGGCTGTTCATATGTATGTATGCATGTATGTATCTACCTATCTATCTGTTTATATCTATTTCAATCTGTTCATATCTATCTAAATCTGCTCATATCTCTCTCAATCTGTTCATATCTATCTATCTATCTATCTATCTATCTATCTATCTATCTATCTATCTATCTATCTATCTCAGTCTGTTCATATGTATGTATGTATGTACGTATATACGTATGTATTATGTATGTATCTATCTAAATCTGTTCATATCTCTTTCAATCTGTTCATACCTATCCCATTCTGTTCATACCTATCACAATCTGTTCATATCTATCTATCTATCTATCTATCTATCTATCTATCTATCTATCTATCTATCTATCTATCTATTGCAATCTGTTCAGGATCTATCTATCTATTTTTTATTGGCATTCTTTTGTTTAATCGAGTATATATTTTTTGTCGAAAAGATGTCTCCGTACATTAGTGGTATCGTTAGGCGAATATGAATTATTATCTTTAGAGTTGAAATAAAGGAGACATGGTCAAAAGCCAGTCGAAGATTTTTTTTCTTTTTTTTTTTTTTGTTAACTGCAACGACTCCAAAGACAGTTTTCTTTAATTATTTGCTGAATATCTTCCCGAAATGTGTTTAAAAATCCAAAATTGTTTTTCGGCATTTCATTGAACCCAATGCCTGCCTTTCATTAAAAGAGATCAGAAATCTTTTTTTTTTCTAATTAAATAATGATCAAAAGTAATATGTGACCCCTTTTAAACTTAGGGTTTCGGAAACTCTTTTATCTGCTTTTTTTATTTCTTTTTTTTGTTCGAAATTCCTTCTTTACTTCCGACATTTCCATTTAATTACGATCGACCGTGTAATTATTTTTTTTATTTTTGTTTCATTCATAATCATTCAGATTTCTCTAAAGGAGTTCCTGTCAACGAAATTCATTAGATTAAGATGAAATTCTTCCATTTCTTTTTTTTTTTTTTTCCTTTGCATCTAGCAGACTTGCGTCAGTTTATGACATACCTGTTCAGTAAATTTCCGTAACCTTCTGCCAAATTCTTGTACGGAGGAACAAGTTCTGAGAATGTCTCGGTTAAGATATTTAGTTGTTCTTTGAGATTTATCTTTTTATATTGGATTTGATGGTCATGTGTTCATTTCGCATAGCGAGCAGTCAAAGCCCGGTACCCATGTTTCGGGCTTACGGCAACATCACGTTGAAAAACTGCTTTCTCTACGATCAAGCCTGGTCAGTACTTAGATGGGTGACCGCTTGGGAATACCATGTGCTTCGATGTGTGGGTAGGATAATTGATAATTGTTATTTGGAGAGCCGAGTCCCAGTTCCCGTTGTGTTAATGATATTCCATTATGCGCAAAATAAATTTTGGGAAAGGCATGAATCCACCTCTTCCATTCCAGATATGAATGAATTAGAAAGACGTGTAACACTAAACTTGTTATTATCTCCGACAAAAGAGAAAAACATTGTTACAATCTGAAAATATTTTCTGGTTTTAAATAGCCTACAAAATGTTGAGCCGTAAAAGAAAATAATAAATAATGACAGTGAGTTCTAGTTTGGTTAATTAAACCCCCAAATGGTTAATATAGTTTGTTTAATTAAAACCCCAAAAGGTTAATCCGGTTTTGGTTAATTAAATCCACAAAGGGTTAATCTGGTTTGGTTAATTAAAACACCAAAGTTTTAATCTGGCTTGATTAATTAAACCGCCCAGGGTTAATCTGGTTTGGTTAATTAAAAAACCAAAGGATTAATCTGGTTTGGTAAATTAAACCCCAAAGGTTAATCTGGTTTGGTTAATTAAACCCCCAAAGGGTTAAAATGGTTTAATTAATTAAACCCCCAAAGGGTTAATCTGGTTTGGTTAATTAAACCCCCAAATGGTTAATATAGTTTGTTTAATTAAAACCCCAAAAGGTTAATCCGGTTTTGGTTAATTAAATCCACAAAGGGTTAATCTGGTTTGGTTAATTAAAACACCAAAGTTTTAATCTGGCTTGATTAATTAAACCGCCCAGGGTTAATCTGGTTTGGTTAATTAAAAACCAAAGGATTAATCTGGTTTGGTAAATTAAACCCCCAAAGGTTAATCTGGTTTGGTTAATTAAACCCCCAAAGGGTTAAAATGGTTTAATTAATTAAACCCCCAAAGGGTTAATCTGGTTTGGTTAATTAAACCCCCAAATGGTTAATATAGTTTGTTTAATTAAAACCCCAAAGGTTAATCCGGTTTTGGTTAATTAAATCCACAAAGGGTTAATCTGGTTTGGTTAATTAAAACACCAAAGTTTTAATCTGGCTTGATTAATTAAACCGCCCAGGGTTAATCTGGTTTGGTTAATTAAAACCAAAGGATTAATCTGGTTTGCAAATTAAACCCCAAAGGTTAATCTGGTTTGGTTAATTAAACCCCCAAAGGGTTAAAATGGTTTAATTAATTAAACCCTCAAAGGGTTAATGTGGTTTGGTTAATTAAACCCACAAAGGGTTAATATAGTTTATTTAATTAAAACCCCAAAAGGTTAATCTGGTTTGGTTAATTAAATCCACAATGAGTTAATCAGGTTTGGTTAAATAAACCCAGAAAGGGTTAATCTGGTTTGGTTAATTAAACCCCCAAAGGGTAAATCTGGTTTGTTTAGTTAAAACACCAAAGTTTTAATCTGGCTTGATTAATTAAACCGCCCAGGGTTAATCTGGTTTGGTTAATTAAAACACCAAATGCGGTTTAGTTAATTAAACCCCCAAAGGGTTAATCTGGTTTGGTTAATTAAACCCCCAAAGGGTTAATGTAGTTTGGTTAATTAAAGCCCCAAAAGGTTAATCCAGTTTGGTTTACTGAATAGGAGAGACATGAAGAAGAGCGGATAGTACGATGCCCGAAACGTTGTGACTGGAATAATAAAAAAATATTTACATATTCTTTATCATCTTGATTACAATTAATCGTAATATTTAATGGCCATCGTAATACCTGTTTCCATGTCTTCCTCTTAATACACTAGAATGGCCCTTAAAATGATCTAAAAGTAATGTGGGTCGCCGATCTACTTTCCAAATAATTTATCTGAGTTATTCTTTGATATAACTTATCTGGAAGTTTAGCCAAGGACGGATTTTCTTCTCGTAAAGAGGTACGCTTTGAAATTTTTAATACTTTATTGAACTTATTATTTAATTTTTTCTCTTTCCTTGTCTCTTACCTGAAGTAACTAACCTGACCATCCCTTGTGAATTCTAGTATTCATTTTCTAGGTCAAGGATGGCCAACCTGTGGCGCATGCGCCATAAGTGGCGCATTGGATGCTTACAAGTGGCGCATTGCATTGATGAAAAGGTCGCGACTGTCCGATTCCAACTTGAAGAATTGTTTGTTGCTTTCAGTTACGAATTTAACTCCTAATATTGCTGGTTTGGCGAAACCAAAGCAGAATCAAAAGACACATTAAAGTTATTTATGTTTATTTTGCCTATGTAAACATTATAAACTCTGCCATCCCCCCCCCTGCAAAATCTGAAGAGAAAAAAAAAGTCAAAGCATTGATTGATGTCCCCCCCTTTCAAAACTCCTGGATACACCCCTGGTCATAAGCATATATTTTTCAAATAAATAGATTTTATTATAACTTTAAAATATGTCCATATTACAACACGTACTGAAAGGAGGTTTGTGTAGCGCATTTAAATTAAACGTACAAAATATTGGCGCATGGAATCAAAAGGTTGGCCACCCCTGTTCTAGATGATATTCACCGTGGTATTTGTGTGTTTAAATTTGCGTTTTCACATTTGAATCGTTCTTTATATTCTTATTACAACAGATGTCTCTTTGTTTCTCCACGAAATGAGTGTAAGCGTGTCTTCAAAAAAGCGAAGTTACTGTTTGCTGATAAAACGAGGCAGCGAATAGCACCTCGAAAGTTCGGTTCTAGAGCTTATTGACGATTCTGCAAGAGTGTGTTGAACAAAAACACATCCTCAATCCCTCTCCTATTCAATCAATTTGAAGTTCTGGCATCAACAGCACATAAGGCTGAATGCTTTGCTTGGAAATTCTCTTCCAATTCAACACTCGGCCCATACGGAGTACCCACGCCTGATTTCCCCAAGAGGACGCAGGTCCTACTGAGTGATATGGGCATAACCCCGGCACTGGTTTCATACCTCATTTCTAAATTAGATTAACACAAGTCGTGCGACGAAGAGAAGGCGGATGTCAAACACTGAAAGATCAAAGATTGAACCAGGATGATTGTTACGCCCCATTCTCTATGAAATCAATGCCTTACCGAAAATCAGATAGAATTCTCAATCTTCCTCTTTATACTCCATTTTTGTGAGATTTGGGTCTCCTCCTCCTCGTCCTTCCTATTTTTCTTCTTCATTATCGTCTATGTTAAAATTTGTGGTCTGTACATTTCTTAGTCGTCACTGTTGCTATAGGGCCTGGTTATCTGATTCTCTCTCTCATGATGTCTCGTCTTCAAGTACTGCCCCTTCTTGATTGTTTTTGACTGCGCATTTACCCACGTTCTGCTTGCAGTAACCCAAATGATGGGGAATTTTTTTGGAGTTTGTGAAGGACTCATGGTCACTAAAGATTTATCTCACATTATTTATTTCTCTGTGGCTCGCCCTGGAGTTTGGGCAAACTATAGTAGTCGCTTCGCAGTGAGCCGCCTCCACTGCCCTCAAGCCAATATCCCAAAGTCGTACGATCTCCATTTGTTGCTGAGAATCAAAAGCCATCTTTTCTCTAAGCGGAAGGTTTGCTTGGAATAATAATAAAAAAAAAATTTGTAGGTCTATATCGGCTAAATTGTAATATCTCCAGCAAGGAAATCTCACTGGCAACTCTTCAGCAATGGAGTTAAAGCAAAGTGAGTCAGCGACCTTCCCTAATTTCACCTCATGTTTTTGCTGCTCATCCACTCCTTAAGCAGACAAAAACCTCACTAAAAATATTGGAAGATGCGATATATTTCGAAGAACCTGGGTGGCTATTCATTAACCTTAAATTGCTCTACTTCTTTCTGCACCAAACAAAGTCATACGGTCATGACCCAATGAAGTTAAACAACATCGAACTTTGTCAGTATCTAGTTTTCCCCAAGAGGACGCAGGTTCTACTGCGTGATATGCGCATAACCCCGGCACTGGTTTCATACCTCATTTCTAAATTAGATTAACATAAGGCAAGCGGAGTTGTCTGGATCCCAGCTGTCGTCCTAAAAAATATGCCCCCGAGAGGACGCTAGTTCTCTCCAAACTCTTTAACCATCGCCTCGCTGTTTCCTGTTCTCCACCTTGCTGGAAGTCCTCTTCCGTAGTTCCTGTTTTTAATCACTCTGGAGAACATTCCGACCCGTCTAACTATCAGCCTGTTAGTCTCCTACTGCCTTTCCAGAAAGTATTCGAGGCTTTAATCAATGCTGAAGTGGTTAAGCATCTTACCGCTCACGACCTAT